GCGAATTATTCACTTTTAGGGAGGAATTTTTTTGCCACTAAAAAACATTTTTCTTGTAGTGTACAACCACCTCTACCATAACAATCACCACCACCGCCCCACTGCAACCATAGTGGTTGTTGCCACCATAGTCGCCACACCACCACCTCCACCTCCACCACCACCACGACACCACCAATACCACCGTTGTTGTCACTCTACCACCCCCATTACCATCCCCACGACCACCATCTTTACCCCCACCACTACCACCGCCCCACCTCCATCCTCACCACCGCCACCTCCACCACCAACATGACTGCTGCCACTACCATAATCCCCATTGCCCCAACACCATGACCACCACTGTCGCTGCTGCCGCCGCCGCCACCGCCACCGCCACCGCCACAGTCACCACCACCACCACCACCATCGCCACTCACCACCGATTGCTACAACTGTCGTCCACCGCCACCGCCACCACCACTATCGTCATTTTATTTTTATATTTATTACCATTACCACCATCATCACCTATCGTCAGCATCCATCATTACCTATCGTCAACATCCACCATCACCATTGTTGCTTACCACCATACATTGCCACCCGCAACCACCAGTTGTCACCCACCATCGCCATCAACTAATGTCACCCACCCCTAACACATCTATCACCACCATCCATCATCACCCACCACTACTGTCACCCACTGTCACCCACCTCCACTACACCTACCACCGCCATTCGCCACCATCCATCAAATTGTCCTGCAAGAAGTACCTTTCGTCGCCCACCTATCATCGTCATTGCCTACCATTGCAACCCACCACCACCACCACCACCACTACCGTCATCTCCCCATCACCACCACTACCAACCACCACTGCCACCACCATCACCATCACCGTCTCCCACCACCACCTCTACCTCTCATCATCACTACTACCACTACAACTGATACTTTAATTCATTTTTCTCTCATCTATGTTTGTGATTTAATTTTGGGTGTAAATACAAATACAAATATTTTTATTGTTGACTATTTTTTTATTACTTTGTATCTTCAAACACAAGTAATAACTGGTGTATTAAAACAATAAAATATATTATATGCAAGACATTCCTATGTCTTTGATCTCCCCATCAACGAAGCATTATAATTTCCTTTTTATACATGGTTTTCATTGGTTCTTTAAAAATTTGTTTTTAAACCATTAATAGAAATATACTAAAACACCTTGAAAGATTTTAAAACATCTAAAAACATTGAATTTTTAACATTAAATGTGCGATTGGCTCTATCTCTGTCTCTAGCGGAACATTCAAATACGGGGACAAACAGTCAAGAAACAACCCCCATTGGAGCTGAAGAAAATGTATCCTTTATCTTATTCTAAAAATGTAGAAGTCCGTTGGCAAAGCCAACTTGAATGATAAATTTTAATTTTTTGGTAATACTACGTGGACTTAAAAATTAGATTTGATAATCACAATAATTGAATAGGTTGTAGGTCCCAATACTAGCTGAGATCTATAGTGAAATTAATAGTTATAATTATCAAGTGTACTTTTTAAGTCTAATTTTTAAATTCATGTAGTATTGCTCATAAATATTTTATACTCTTAGAGCATCCGACTAATTAATATTTTTCCGGACATTAGTAGTCTCTGTGTCCTATTTGTAATGCATCAGAAAATTATCGAGATAAATCCTTTAGAGTATCTCCCAAGAAAATATTCGAACTTTTGTAGAGTGAGCTCCCAACCAACTTACATATCCTAGAGCTGCCAAGCTGAATGATACCAAATGGATTACAGGTTTTCCTTCATTTTTCAATGTATTTTGCATGTCATTAATAATTTGATCTGGCCTAATGACTAGGTGAAGAGTTTCGCAGCAATTGGGCACTTTAGAATCTCATTAGGTCCACAGTTCCAGTTGATAATCGAGTTGAACTCTTCGGACTCGACTTGTATAGGACTCGATTTGAGCTTGTCCCATATTTTAAACGAGTCGAATTTGAACTATTTTTTAAGCTCGTTTATATGTAAATAGTCGATTTACTGGGTTCAATTCGTTTAGGCTCGGCTCATTTTTTAAATGAGCTTAACTTGATTAAATTTTTAGACTCGTTTAACAAAACGAGCTCGGCAAACTCAGCTCAAGCGTGTAAAACTCGATTATCAACCCTACTCATTATGAAACTAAATAATATATTTTCTTGACATCATACTTCAATTTTTCAACCAATAAAAAATGCACCATGCTTACAATTTTTTTTCCTTATTTTATGATTTTCCAATCAAATCATTCAATTTCAACTTAATAACTTAGATGGACGGAGATATCGTACCCAAACCTTACCAATTTACGATCATTTTCCTCCAACACTTTTCTTGTAGAAGGGTCTATTCTAATAACAATTTCTTCTTTACATGTGAAGTGGAAACTTGAATTATAGGGATGGAAGGATAGTGACTTCAATCTTATCCATAACCATTGATTAATGTGATTTTTGTTTTCATGTGGCATGATCCTTAAAATTCCAAAATATTAATTGTGTTAAGACTTCTACTACATTGATAAAATACCATGTCATAGATTAGTATAGCGTGGACTTTGAAACAGTAGTTAGATTATTTCATTATAAGTAGAACGTTAAAAGTTCGACCTGTGCATATAGAGCACAAAGTCATTTTCTAAACTCATAACTACCTTGGACCGTCACGTACTACGAACTTTGCCACTACCAATTATTTTGATTTGGGGTTGCATAATTTATTTATTTTTTAAGGACATTTTACATATATGTATTTGTCTCTAATGACAAGTGATTTACATATATGTTTTTGTAATATATTAATTCCTAAAAGCTAAATATATATGTTTTTGTTTGCTTGTTAAAATTACTGAATAAGACCTTACTGAAAGGAGGAAAATTCGCTTACAGAAACTGAACAAGTAAAACACCACCAAAAAAAAAAAAAAAAAAAAAATCTATGGTTGTCCATTGATTTGAAAATAAGTGAAATTCAATCTTTCATTTAGTACCAAGGGTAAAAATTACTATCATAAAGTCAGGCTCATATCATCTTTCGATAACAAAAAAGCGAGCATCAAGATAAGATAATCCTCGATCCTTTCAAAACAAAATAAAAATGATAGTTTAGTTTGTAAAAAATAGTAATAAGAACATTTACCCCCCCCCCCCCCCCCCCCCCCCCCCCCCCGGTCTCTGAAGACATTTTTTGTTTAGTTAGAAGATAGAACCATTCTAGATGCATCTTTTGGTAGACTTTTTAGCTGCATTCAAACTGTCGAAAAATGTTGACACCATTATTCATTTTCTTCTTGCTTCCGAAGCAGTGACACCATCACACGTGCATGTGACTATTATTCTTACCAAAATTCAGTCAAGGTGACAACATTTTTTTCTTTAACTTAGACGTTAAGACTTTCATTGTAAACTCCACCTAAATTTTAAAATTGCACTTTCCACATACTTATCTCCATGAGTATCAAATTAAGGACTGAGCACATAAAGACACCCTAAAAATGTTAAAACGAGATTTTATTGAGTTGAGGATGAGTTGGGTAGTTCAGCTCCAAAGATGGAGAGTCTGGCTAGACATCTTGGCCCAGCAAAGGGTCTAGCCTAGCCCAAACACAATAAGAATATATATGATAATAATAATAATAATTTTATGAACAATAATGAATTTAAACTATTGTTTAGGGATTGTGAAAAAAGAACAGGCATGAGATTAGTGTCATCAAATTGAAATTCAAGATTGAATGGACTTGTACAAACAACTTTAATGAACGAATAAGAGGGAAAACTAATGGATATAACTATTACATAAAGTCAACAATGTCCCGTGGTGTAATCGTTTGCTAATACGTAAACAATTCATTAAGTGGACTTGTTTAAAGAGCCATTTAAAATCTAAATTATATCGAGTTTAAAGAGCCATATATATATATATATGTCCAAAATTTATGTTGCAATCATTTTAAAATGAAGGTTTGGATTTTTAGTTTTCTTGGCCGCCAAAATGAAGGTTTGGTGGAATTTGCAAGGAGAAAAAGGATTTTTTGGATGTTTTTCTTTGGTTGCTCAACAAAAATATGCTTCACAAATCTCATTAATTACTTCACTTTTAATTTTTTTTAAGATAATACATTAATAAATATTCTTTTTAATAATATTAAGATGAGGAGTTCAGGTAGAGAGATATTAAAAATTTTGTATATTCTACGATTAAGACTGATAATTGAGTTGCGTTATTTAGACTCAATTTAGATAGAACTTGACTCAAGTTTGATTTGTGTTCTAAAAGAGTGAAACTTGAACAATTTTTTAAACTCAAACTTAACTCAAGCTCGCAAATGTTGTGTTGTTTATATGTAAAATAATCGAGTTATTCAGACTTGGTTTGAGTTTGACTCATTTTCGACTCAGCTTGAGTTCGACTCATTTTTTTAAACGAGTCGAATTTGAATAATTTTGTGAATTTATTAAAAAAATAAATTCGATAATTATTAATCCTATATGTGATACGGCCGCTATTGAAAAAACACATAAAAATGAAGAAAGATTCAAATTAAGGATGAGACAAAATAATCAAGTGAATTAACAATACAAGCTATACATGAAAGCTGGAACAAGATGTTTTTTCTTTTAAAAGTGTAGAGATAGAAAACTTAAGACAGGCAAAGAAAGTAATCTAGAGAGAGAAAGCTGGAACTGCACTCAAACGCCTCTCCACAGTGACGCCATCTCACGTCAAAATCAAAATGTACTCATGGCGATTCCGATTCTCCACCCCCCCCACCCATTTCCCAATAAATTCCCTCCCCCATTTTCCCTTTTCCCAATTCCTCAATCTCCATTTCCTCTCTTTCTCTCTCTCTCTCTTCATCTTTCGTTCTCTATTCCTATTGAGTTTTTTAGAGAGTTAAAAAGATTGAATTGCATACAGATTACAGACTTAAATTTTGGCATACCCATTTTTTCATGGCCGAAGAATTCCAAGAATTTGAAGTTATTTTCCAGGAAAATGATGTGAACGAAGAGTTCCCAGGTCATTCAAGTTACCTGGAATCGCAAAACAACAAGTTGATGAGAGGGAAAAAGAAGAAGAATTCAGTTCCAGTGAAAATCCCAGAAAATGTTTCCGGGAATTCAAGGTTTAAACAGGTGGATTCAGGCTTCTTTGACGATGAACATTGTGGTGGTGACGATGGAGAGATAGGGCCGCCCCACGTGATCTCGGGGCGGCGAATCTCCAGAAAAATGGCGTTCTCCGTCTGCACTGGAAATGGGAGGACTCTTAAAGGCCGGGACTTGAGTCAAGTCCGGAATTCTATTCTCAGGATGACTGGTTTCATTGAAGCTTGACCAAACGCTAAACATGAATGGAGGAAAATAATGAAAGAAAGAAAGAAAGTGAAGGAAAATATTTTCTTTGTTTTTTGGTTAGCTTTTTTATATGTAACAGTCTCCTTAATTCAACATTCATTTATTGCAATAGAAATGAAATTTAGAAAGTGTAAAATGCAAATATTAATGGGTTTTATTTTTCTTCAACTTGGTATGGATTTTTTTTTCTTGTTTTTGGGATGTGTTGTTCTATAAATGTATGGTTTGTGCATAATCTTTATTGTATGATGTGGGTTTAATCAGTTTGGAATATACAGGTTCTATTATTTGGATTCTGTTAGGCTTGCTGGGTGCTCATTGTGCTGCCATTGATGGCATACTCCTGTTTCTCTGATGTTTTGTTTGGACTTGGGCAAATCACAACATGAACAGCTGGTTTGAGAGAGATAGAGAGAAAGAGAGAGAGATTTGTCAGCAACCTAGCATTGGTTAAAAATTTTATTTTTTAAAAGCTACCAATGTTATATATAGAATTTATTTACTAATTTTATTATTCTTTGTTATTAAATTGACAATAAAATTAACTATGAGTTAAAATTCATTGTCAATTTAATGACTATAATTCACCTTGTCAATAAATAAAATTACTAAATTATATACAAATAACATTTCCCTTTTGATAGTATATTGAAAAATAAAAAAACCCAAAATATAATAAGTCAACCCAAAACAAGATAAGTAGAATCAGAAAATAAAAAAGATATTCAATATAACGACAACACCGCATCATTAACACTATATGATGTCACCAACTAATTATGAACAAATAAGTAGAAGTAATAATTTTATAAAATTCTATAACGATCCATAACTTTTGCATTCAATAATTGTTACCTCCGATTTGTGGGGTTGACTTGTCCAAAAATTAGTAAAATTCCTCCAAAAGTAGAATACATACCCCAAAAAAAAAAATGATAAATGGGTCAAACACCTAGAAATGTATATATGTCAAAATATTTGATCTCACAAGGGCTATGATTTTTTTTAGCAATACTATTTAAATATGATTTATTGATCTAATTATTATTAATTAATAAATTGACAATAAATTTCAGTATTTATTATTAATTGAGATCCAAAATATTTCTATTTGTTGTGTGGGAACGTGTTTTCAAGTCTTTTTTTTTTTTTTATCGTGATTCACTAAGGACAAAGCCCGAAGGACAAAACTCTTGTTTCACAAAAGATAATAGTTTGAAGGGTAATATTGACATTTCATACACTTTTTTTTAAGTCAATCATTCCTGGGATATGGAGGAGACTTTCGATGCTCATATTCCATTGTAGTGTATAATACATCACTCATAAAATAATATATATTTCTAATTAATTTTTATCACTCGTAAAATTATATAGAATTTTTTTTAGAACAAATTAATGTGTATTTGTTAAGTAAGTATTATAATAATTTTTTATTAAATATAAAAGCCATATAATACTGTCGCCTATATCTTATAAACACCAAATTTTATTTTTTATTTTTTGACTTAATGGTCAAAAATGTTTGGGCTAGTTTACACACATTTAGACTATTTCATTTCCTGATTCAGTTAAAAGTAGATTATATATACTGGAATTAGGGTATTTATAAAGGATAAAATCTCTCAAGATTTGACCTCGAGTAATTGACAAAATTCAAATTCAAGATATCGTAATTTACGATTCGTCCTCCTTGCGATATGAACTATTTAGTTTCCCAAATATTTTATTAGAGACACGAGTAGATAGAACTATGTTGATTTTTGCACTTCACGTAAAATAATTGACTTGATCTAATACTTAATGCAAGGGTAAAAACATTAATCTAATATTGTGTTCAAACTTGGAGATTATTTCGGGATTTTCTACACGTGATATATATTTTACTATAAAATAATGTTTATATATTGAATTATTGAATAATTTCGAGATATGTTATTCACAACGCTAAGTATCATCATTTAATTATTTTGGGTCTTTTATTTTGTCATTAATAATTCAATAAAAAGAAATATGAAAACGTGTGGTGTAAATTAAAGTCAACATTATAATTTAGTCCCTTAAAGTTGGATTGGTGTTCTTAGGTGGTGCTTCCATGTGGGCACAATCAAAGCCATTCAAAGTACATCTTCTACAATAGCACGGTAAACTCTTTCGAGGAATGCTACAAAACTCAAACAAATTCCAAAACCAACAATCCAAATGACATGACATGTCATTTGATGGATCACATCATATGTTGCTTGTCATCAAATGCAGCCGGACCGATGAGTTCTCTCTCTTATTTCCTTTTTCTTTTTTTTTTCTTAGAACCCATTTGATTTGGAAGAAAAAAAATGATAGAAAATAAAAATAATAGAAAATGAAGTGAAAAGAAAGAAAATAATAAAAAATATATTTTTATGCATGTATATGGTTAGAATGAAAAATTTACAGGAAATTTTTATTTTATTATTTAAAAGAAAGTGAAGTTATAAGAATTTTTTTATAATTATCTAAAGCACCTTTAATTATATTAAATTGGTCTAAAAAGAAAAAAAAATGTAATTACAATTGCACGTTAAATATTTTTTAAAAAGTGGCTCAAAATCTAATTCTAAGACAATTACCAACACAAAGGTTTTTGGGCCAAATTATATGATTAATCAAATTCATACCAAATTTTCTTAAAATAAAAACTAACTAATAAAATATTTTAAGAAAAATAAGAATAAAATGAGAAATTAGCTATAAATCACAACTTTCTTACATTTCCTTTTGTTTTTAACAAGAAAAAAAAGTTAGTTATTTATGAGAAAATTCAAGTATAAAAAAAATTATTTTTTCTATCATTTTTCTTTCATGCTTATCAAACACATTAAAATTTTAAAAGATTTCTCTTTCTTGCTTGCACTTTCTATTATTCTTTCGCTAAACAAACGAACTCTTACGTCATTAAGTCTCTTTTCTCTCTCCTCTTTTTCGTTTTTACCTCCATTGTCTTCTTCCTCCCCAAATTAATTTCGCCTGAGGAAGTGAGTTTTCGTCTGAGATAGAGAGAGGAAACCAGAAGATTTTGTTGGGATCGAAGCAAAACGAGCATGGGATCAAACAAAATGAGACTCAGACTAAAAGGTAGGGAGAAAACAATCTCAGAGATTTGACAGGGATAAAGTAATGGAAGGCCACAACATTATCAGACACAAACAGGTTTACCCTCTTTTTCTCTTGTGTTTTGCAGCAACTCTAGAGAAATCTCTCCCTCTGTCTCTCTCTTTATATCTATATAATAAAACATGAATTTGTTTGAATTTTATTTCATTCATATTTTTCTCCCTCAAAATTATCATTAATCACTTACCTCATCTATCATTTTTTTGTCAAACTCAAACGTTCACATTACTCATTTCTATCATATATTTATTATTTATTATTTAATTAATTTTAAAAAAATTTAATGTAGTGGAATCGATTTTTTAGACTTTCAAATTTTATATTTCATCGTATCTTCAGACACAGATTATAACTAGTATATATATATATATATATATGGCTGCTGGGCAGGAAAAGCAAAACATCTCACTTAGACTTGTGGTCAACTTGATAAAACTTCATCCACACCTTTTTTAGGTAAGTATATCTTCGGCGAGAAAACAATTTGCTCAAATTTTAATACATAAAAAAATATAAAATTTTAATTGATTCAAATTTTAATGAATTGAATTTTAATTGACACAAATTATAATAAGTAAAAAAATATAAATTAAAATCGACTCGAAAATAAATTTTAATCAGCGCTAACAACTTGGGTAGAGCTCAAATCGATTCAAATTTTAATACGTAATTTTTTTTTTTAATAGGGTCGAATTTTAATACGTAAACAAAAATAAAATATAATCAACTCGAATCATATTTTAATCGGCTCAAATTTTAATATGTAGAAAAATAAATTTTAATCAACTCAAATTTTAATATATAAAAAAATAAATTTTAATCGGTTCGAGGAAAAAGACTTTGGTGTTTGATGATATGGGCTAATGGGTTTTATTCTTATTTTTCTGTAGTGTTGCTGTGGTGGTTTAGGGGTGGCTGTCTTCTAGAAGGTTTTTTTTGGTGGGGTTTTGCTGCTTTAAGAGGTTGGGATGTTCTTGAAGCTTTCTGTGCTTTGTTGCCTTTTAGAGCTGTTGAGGAGTTTTTATTTGGTGTATTTTGTTTTGTTTTTTGTTAAGGAAAGGTGTCTTGTGCCTTTTCCTCGGTTTTGTTTCTTGTAATGCTTTTACATTTGTGAATAAATAAAATTTTGTTTAAAAAAAATAAAAAATCAGGCAGTTCAAGGCAGAAGGATTAAAGCAGGCAGTTGAAGGCAGTTCATGGCAGAAGGGTTGATTATGATAGTTGAGGCTGATTCCTGGCTGCAATGAAGCTGTCTGTGCTCATATACTGGACTGAAAATGGTTGTTGCCTGGTTGCAATGAAGGTGCCCTTTGTGCATTTTGAAAGATTAAAGCATTGTAAATGAATTTTTGGGTTGGATTGTAAAATTATTGTAATTCTTTGCTTCTTGTAATTTTTTGATTCTTTCTATAAAATTCCTCTTTCTTTGAAAAAAAAAATAACTTTATTGTATGATTTGACAAGTATGAGTAAACACTATATAATCAAGAAATAATGCATAACTATATGCGTTCTGTAACTATACCACGAAAGTATTGAGTGCATTTAGCAAGACCTGTGGCTATATATATCCACCAAGACTATAAAACTAAACACACAACAATTCTCATTAGAACAAAATTCTTGTCCAAAGCATACAAGTTCCATAAATGGTAGGTTCCAACAATTCTTACAAACACAAAATTAATGGTCTCATATCAAGTCTCATTTCCAGCAACACTTAAAATAATACAAATCTATAACACTTAACAATACATGCATTCATTTGAAAAAATGATTCTTTAATTTTTGAACTTTTGGGTCTTCATTAAATTCAAAATTTGAGGCGAAACTAGCGGGTTGCATAGTTGTTATATGTGAACTCCTCCAATTTGGGTAATATT